AAAAACTTTATCAAGTACTCCTTCTGGCTTTACCAGTCCTACCTGTCCCAGGTGGTGCAACATACAGTCACTTCATCATCCTAGATCGGAAATATTGTAATATTACTGTTCTGTAGCCCCTTACAATGCTTATATCCTGTTCATAGATTATTTAAGGAGTAATTTGCTAAAGTATTAGCAAGTGGCCAACATGAGTCATTATACTGTGTCATGTCCTACTTGGTGCTTTGGTGACATGCCTGGTCCCTACAGTTTGATTATCTGTCCCCTGCAACCATGGAGTGCTCTGCGTTGCACTGCTCTGGTAATTTCAGCAAATATAAAGATTCACCATTCTGCAGCCTTACCAGCTCCCCATCAGTCCTCCAGTTCTCTGATTTCCACCACCTCTAGACTAGGCATTTTTTCCCTATCCTCAATTTATGTGGGGTTTTGTTTTGTTTTGGGTTTTTTTTCATAAGTTGAAAATAGTTCTCCTAATTTTGTTCACCTGGTTTTGCCCCTACTTTGGTACTTGGATTCCATTACTTTAGCTTGTTCACTTGTACTTTATCACTTTAATTAACTCTTAGATATTTGGGACTTGACATTTGGAAGTCTTTTCAGGAACTGGTATTACATATTCTATATATTATTCTGCCTTTGATTACAGAATGTTTAATGTGCCCAAATTTTTATTTGGTTTTCAGAATTGTCTCCCTTGGAATGTAACTATCCTTTTTCTCTTCTATTTCTTGGCTTGGAGTTTTTCACTCCATTTTCACTTGGATTTTTCAATCCACCTCATACAGCCTATCACTTTATTGTGTCTGAGGCTGTAAAACATGAAACACAAATACCTGTTTTGAGGTTTTTTTTACATTCCCTCCTCCAATAAGGGAGGTAAAATCTTCCATTTCACTTTTCATGACACTTGTATACAGGCTCTTATAAAAAAAAAAATAAAAAGCTCTTCCACTGTTTCTTTGTCTGTGTTTTCTTTTAACTGGAAAATCTGCATTTCCAGTAAGCTTAGACTGTCCAACTGCACAGACTGCTCTTACTGGATTTTTTTTATCCATTGCTTGGATACCACCCCCATGGCTAAACTGCTTCTTTTCCTACAGGTTACTCTTTCTTTGGGGACTCCTGCCTCTCTTTAGACTTGTGCCTAGAGCTAGACCAAGGATTCATATCAAGATGTTTTTCTAGTTTGAGATGATTCTTTTGTTCATATGTTTAAACTCACTGTAGTAAGTCCATTTAAGACACAATAAAGGTACTTTGACTGATGTGAAGTAGGGCCATTCCTATTCATGCTCACAATGAAAAGACAGACAAGCACATTCAGATGAAGTCACAAGGTGATATGGCCACGTGTTGAAATGTATTATGTCTATTTTTTAACTGGTTCTCTGTAGTCATATGCAGGACTATAACTTCAAGCTAAATGATCATTTTGGAGTATTTATCTTCTACTGGATTTTTTCTGCACAGTTACATTAAAGAGCTAATACAATCGACCTGGAGAAATAAAAGTAACCACAGTATCTTGAAGGTGTTTATCTACAGCAGAAGCTAAATGCTCTTTAATCTATTAAGTAAGCAAGATACGAGAGAGAGAGAAAGTCATTCAGACTCAGATTCCTATTTTTCACAATGAAATTCGTGTGCTTGAGCTCATTTGGTGTGCACCAAAAATAGCTCAGCAAAAAGGGCTTTCCTTGAGCACTTCCATTATTCACATGATGCGGCACCTTACATAACACGAAGCGTGCACGTCATGCCGCTGAGTGTGGTGCACATGGGTGCTAGTGGGCAAAAATTTCCACTGGGGACAATAGTACCAAGTGTTTTAAAGGCAAAGTCAGGCTGAAGTCACTGATGTTTTTCAATGGGTAAATCTAGAAAACCTTGGAAAATCGTTTGGGGGGTCTGATAGAAGTATTTCAGAGATAGCCTCTGAAAATCAGTGTTAATGCATACGTCTTATTTTTAAAGATGGAAATACTATATTATCTTGACAGTCTCAGTGACTTTGGGCACTTGGGGTACCTGCCTTGCCACCAGCAGCTCCATCCAGACACCAACAGTTCTCTGATGCTGCCTTCTTTGCTTAGTGGAATTATCCTTTGCTGCTGTAATCACTTAGTCTCAGTCCGAGCTCTTTCTACTGAAGACACCATTTGTGCCTCCCTTTGCTAATCTGCATGCATGTGAACCCCCTTGGCTGCAGCATTGTTATTTGTATTGCTCTGTGTTCCCTGCACATGGGATTAAAGTCTGTCAAAGCCTCCAGCTGCACGGTTTTTCATTTAAGCTATAAAGTATTGCTTTTAACACTAACAGTCCCAAACTTAACCTCTATTCTTGGTCACAGTGATAACCATCACACATACAGTTTAGGACATCATCTTTGAGATGATGGTATGAATACCAGTATACTGTGACTCATTTTGACTACTGATCATATAACATAATAATTACTGTTTTCAAAAGGGATGATTGAACCTGTGTAAACAGAGTTGTTCTGATTCCCTGGAAACCCATCATTTTGAAAAATAAGCAAATCTCGTTTGATTATTACAAAACATATTTTAAAAAGAAGTTATTTTCTTTCAGGTGATCTAGCACTATGCAAATTCAGATTTTAATATATTGAAACTACTACATCCTCAGTACCATCAGAGTCATGGCTTCTGCAGCCTGTACTCTATGAAAAAAGTAGTATTATGATATACAGTAAATAGGCAACTGTTTCTCTCAGCCGTGAAGTATTGCTGCTGATGGGTGTATTTAATTGTGAGCAGGAAGACTACACAAATCTTTTGGACAAGCATTGAATGCTTCTTCCAACAGAAACTGCATGGGGAAGGCAGACAGGTTGAAGTACTGATTACCTGAGAATATAGGGATTTATTCTGTATAGAAGATGGCAACAGGTTCTGATAGTGCAATCTTTTCTAATGCAATGGCAGGTCAATGGTTCAGCTGTAAATACAATTTCCAGACAATCAACAATACAAACCAGGCTTTCCTAGAGAAGAATTAACCAGTCTGGTCTTTGGCTTAAGAGATCTGACGGTCCCTTAAGGTGTCTTGTGCTTTCATGCAGTGCTTTGAGGGTTGTAGCACCAAGAACAAGACCCAGCAGAAGCAATAACAAAAGCAGTGACAAAGGCTTACAAATCCGAGAAGAGTATTCTTCTTATTTTGTATATCTAGCTGCTAAATGCAGGAATCCTGGTCAGACATGACTTAGTGCCTATTTTTTATGTCCCCAGATTAGCACTGAGAGATGCGGTATAAATATTCAATGTCCCCTCTTCTACACTGTCTCCTCTTGACTATGACTTCTAGATTTACATTCACCATAAACCCTTGGTTCAATGAGCAATACCTCAGCAAGTCAAGTTACCCACTTGTGAGGCTTCCTGTGGCACCACAGGCTATGTTGCTATGTACTCTGCACATAAATGTCCTTCTCTTGAGCAGAAAAGTACCGAGCTGCAGCTATGATAGTATTGCTCCAGAAACCTCGGTCTTGGTATGTCTCCTCTGTTCACCTTTCAAGTGCACATCACTTCTGTGGTGGAAGTTCTCCAGGGGAAATCAGCGCCAGTGCAGCTCGCTCTTAGGCCTCTGCAGGAAGAGTACTGCAGTGACATGGCCCCTCTGTGTACTGCCCTGCCTATATATATAATACACAATATTAAAAGTAGAAGAGAGGTTTCTGCAAGCTTTCCTGAGAGAGAGGATAACCAGGCCTTACAAGAACCTTAGCTAGACTACTAGGACTTTCTGACTGATAATACATGCAACACTGACTACTGACTTGGATTGGTTTTGTAGTTGTCTGGCATCAGTTTTCCAGTGGCAGTATAGTTATATCTTCTGGAAAGACCCTGAGATTTTTCTTTTTATGCTTAGTTTTGTATACATGTAAATATGATTATTTCTACAATAGAAATTATCCAGAAGGGAAGGCTCACTTCTACTCAAGCAGTAAATCTAGTTTGAGATTGTAGCTCTGAAAGTGAATAATTTATTGCATTGCAAACACTCTATTCTAATTTTGCTGTGTAATGTTAACTATGGTTTTTGCTTTGATTTTCAAAGCTACTAATTCCCTTTACAGTATACAAAATCCGCTGAAATTATCTGCATCTTATAATCACATAACTTTACAGAACTTGATCAAAGTCAGAGGCCCATTACACCTCAAAGGCTGTTCAAGTAATGTTTTTGTTCTAGGAAATCAAGTCCTGAAAGATTTAAGTCTTGGTCCCATTTTATATGAATGAATACATTTAATTTCTCAGTCACCAGTATCAAGCAGTGAGCTGCACACTAATCTTATTTCTCTCTCCATCACTGATTTTATTACCTCCCAACTCACCCCTGATTTTACTGTGTAAAACATTTCAACCAATGGCTCTTCTCCAAGCCAATAAAAAGAAACCAATGCCATATTTTTTTTTTCATTCATAGCTATTCATACTCCACTAAGCAGGACTCAGGACATCACAAGGAGGAAAACTTCAAGTTGATGGTTCAGGAATAAATACCATACCAATAAAAATGCATTTCATTACACATACTAAATTTTGTTGCTCATCTGAAAGATAACACAATGTAGGATTTTCTGTCAAGTCATTTCCTCTGCTCTTGTTCCTGCCATTAACCCTATATTTATACAGGACCAGGCTACCCAATATATATGCATTTTCCTTGGGAAATTTGGAATGGGGGTGGCACAAGCCGACCATGGAAAAAAACAAGCATACGGATGGGCCACAAGAATGTACAACATGAAACTGCTGTTCATGCTGTGGACAGTACTGTGTATTTTGTGGGGACATTTAGCTGTGGACAGTACTGTGTATTTTGTGGGGACATTTAGCAAAGAGAATACAAGAGCATACTAGTGATGACATCAAAATCATCCATTTTGCTGATTTATGACATCATTGCACATACTAAAAACTCTCCCTTGTTTCTCTTTCTCACTACAGTTTTACCCTCAAACTTGAACTGCCGATCTGATTCACTGTCCCGTAAGCTGATGACTCTTTGCTCCGCAAGCCATTCATGCGCAGCACGGACTCGATGCTTTCATTCCCAACAGTCATAGTCTGTGCCTGTCCCCAGAGTGTCAGCATAGATAGCAGCAGCAAGAATGAGAATAGCACAGTGGTAACACAACACACATACACAACACGCAAAGAAAAGAATGGCTCAGTTAGAGACGACCATCATGCAAAAACAACATGAATCACTTTCAAGGCAAAATAAACTGAGAAATTTTGAGAGACAAACTCAAGTAAAGAAATGCAGAAAACATACCCTAAAGAGATGGCCTTAGTAACATTATTGCCTATTTTAAAATTCATACAACCAGATTTATAGGAAAAGTGAGAGCAAGCCTGTGCAAATGGATAGGTGTCTCTTACGTCAGCAGAATATTTCCTTGTGTTTAATTAGGGCATTACCCATTTTGCAAAGAATCCATCTACCAACTGGCTTAGAATAAACACAGGTCTTCTGGTGATTTGATTTTAAATAACTTTCTTGTAATATTCACCAGAATAATCATTCCCACAGCAGATGAATTACCACTTCCATGGACCAAAACCTCCTAATTTTTGAGTGATGTCACTGGATACTGTTACTTACTAATGGTAGCTTCTTGCCTAATTGTTCATCTCTAAAGAAGACATTGTATCCAAAACTGAAATTAGAGACTCCATACAGAAGCTTCTGCTGCTGCCAGGCTGGTTTTGGAAACAAAGGCTTCTAGTAGCAGTGCATCTGGCATGCGTACCTGAAGACAGGCAAACATTTTTGGTCTCTCCTGTAATCTACCAGGAATCTCAATTCACCTGACAATAATATTAAACCAGACAACAGCACTGGATTACTTCCCAGAGCATCCATCAAATATTACCTCAGCTACACAACACTTATTAGACAGACCTGTCAAAACACAAATGCCCTGTGCCACTGTTGTCATCCCTTTTGTAAAGGAAACGATTATTTACGACTTGAAGCACTCGTGCAGCTCAAGCAAATGTTTATTTCACCTAGCAATTGCATATGCACAGTGTAAACCTAAATGTTTCTACTGATACTGAAAACCAGTGACATAGATACAGGAAGAATGAAGACTTTAGAGTTGTGGGAATGATCATAACTGGACTAAAATTCAATTTAATGTCTAATGTCTTTCCATTTACCAAAGAAAACAATTAGGAAATGTGGACAAACTTCCTGAAAATATTTCTAGACTGACATCTAGGTGAAAACCAAGCTTCTCTACTATATTTCAGTCACTGGTATAGAATGTGATAATGATAATCACAAATAGGCCCTTTGTCAAAAACCTGAAGTTTGTATCAGTAACAAACTGTGAAGTAGTAGAATCTAGAGAGAAAATTCTTCTAATCCTTCTCTTTTTTAAAGTGGCCATGTTTCATCGTTTCAGTTGGGAAAAACACCAGTTTCTGGTGGTTTAAAAGTCAGGGCAGAACTGCTGATTGCTCTATAATGGGTTACCCTAAGGAATCTCCCATTTTAGCATAACTAGCTAGGGTAGCAGTAGAAAAGACAGGGCTCAGGCATGTGCTGATGTCAGCACATGTGGGCGATGTCAAGGAAATAATATCAGTCCTCTATCTATGTCATTGCTTCCAACAGTTCCTTATCCACTGGTGGGTGCCACATAGTAGTACAACATTTGTGAAGGTACAGCTGCCCCAGCATTTGCAAGAAGGGAATAAAATTATTTGAATCAGTGACCAATAAATTGACATTTGTTGGTAACTTCATAAACTGCAAATAAACCAAGAGGCCAGTTGTCAGCTCTTTATCAAGGAGTAAATCACTCAAAAGGAAACTTTAGAACGAGAGTCTCCTGCAAGGGCAAGAAGAACTGAAGTGAGAAATCAACTGCACATCACCATGCTGTCAGGGCAGAATCAGTCACCCCAAGTAAAGAGCGGCTGTACCTTGTTTTGTCTTCTTTGCCTTCTTCGAAGCCTCAGAAACTCCTTGTGCTGCCGGGAAACAAAGTTGACTGCTGCATATTCCAGTAACGCAGCAAAGACAAAGAGAAGGCACACGGCCATCCAGATGTCGATAGCTTTTACATAGGAGACCTAGAAAAAAAATAGGGCACAGCATGTTATATTTCAAACTTCTTCATAAGCTGAAAATATTGACCCGAAAAAATAAAAACATTTCCGCTCAGCAGAATTCCAGTTGTTCAGTGAGGTTGGGGGTTTCTTGGTTTGTGTTTTGCTTTACTGGTTTATAGGTTATAACAAATAAATAATCCAGATCTTAATGGAAATGCACGTTCACAAAGGATACAGAAATTATGAACTACTGCCTTTAGGTAAAAAATCGAGTTTAGTCCAACAAAATACAAGTGATCTTATAGTCACAATCATAGTTTATCAGAAAGAATATGAATACAGGACATGATACAATACTTATTGAAAAACAACTCTTATTGTTATCACCTCTTTCATCTTTTATGAACCAATTACCATATTGATTGATTAGCTATGTTTGGTATCCATAACCTCAAAGTAAACTCAGGGTAATGTATCCTATAGATTGAAATGACTTTACTAATTGAATATTTGATCCTAGTTGCTTGATCTTTATCCAACAACTCTATAAGAAAAAGAAATCTTCATAGATATTATCTACTACAAATACCCAAATACCAGATGTGTCCATTATATTAAAAACCGATCCTGATTTGAATTGACTGATCCACATTAAAATCAGATATATTACAGCACTGCAATGTCACAAGATTTTTATCTTAGTACCCACACTGGGCCAAACAGTATCCAATTAATGAGACACACACCATGCATATCAAAGGTACATTGTCCTCCATAGCTGTATTTGGCCTCTGCCTTTCCTCGTAGTCTTGCAGGTTTTAAGCAAAGTTTGTGTGATTAGGCAACAGCAGGTTGTCTCTTTTGTTTATCAGGTATTACATCCAGGATGGAATTAAAAACATCTGACTTTTAATGTCTACAACTTACATGTGAGCTAGTTGCCAACTACTTTGATAGAAATAAATCAAGGAATGAAGAAGAACAGGCATTTCTAGGATGCAATGCATTTGATCTGTTTTAGCTGTCTTCTCTAGGGTGAGATTAATAACACCCAAATATTGCTTCTTCATCTTCATGTCTATAAAGAGGGGCTTAGAACCACTTTCTAAGCATAGACACACGGGGTTTCACTCAGTTGTCTAAATAAAAGCATTGCATAGTGCTGCATCAGGTATGTAGCCTCCATTTGCTAATCCAGAAAAGCACAAATTTCCAGTATCATACTAACCAGTCCTCTGGAGATGTCTCAGATACCCAAGGTCACCTCAAATGGCACCCACCACCATACAACTGAATCAAGATAAGCAAAATGGATCGTACCTAAACCCTGAAAAATTGTAATCAAAGATATTTAATATCTGAATAATACCCTGAAGGCCAAACATTTCAATGCAGTCAAAACACACGGTGGTCTGAAAAGAGAGCAGAAAAGGATGTGTTGTGCATCTAACACTTGAATGTTTAGGACACCCTCCTAAACCCTCCTAAACTCCACCTCTACCCTTTGCACACGCTGTTCAAAATGACCTTGCTCTTGTGGTCGTGGCTATCATTGCATGATGAAGGGAAGCACATCTGTTTCAGTAGATTTAGCTCCTCTTTACCATGTGTTTAAATAGCATCACTTTTCGAAGTCTGTAGAACATTTTTTGTTAATGTCGAACAGAATATACTGCACTATGTGCTCCAGCAAGCATTATGAGCAGAGGAACTGGCATTTAAAGTATGGTAGAAAGGATGCAGAGCTCCATCCTGCAGATTCTGAACACTGAAAAAGACATTTTAGAGGAGCCAAGTACTGGTATTCAGCCTGCATCGTGGGAACATACGTTTCAGTAGCTGAGGTTATAGTGCAACCCCATATTGCCATGCCCACAATACAACATGCATAGGCTGAGATGGAAGAGGAGGATTTAGCAGGCTAAAGTGAATCTGTGCCTTTCAATTAGATACACAGCAGGTATGCACTTGTCTCTCCCACACATAAAAAATTTTACAAGTTCCATCTTTACTGAGCAGCTGTGAAACCCGATGAAAACTCAGCAACATCCCAGACACTCTGTGCCACAGGCAGAGGCGCAGTAGGAATCAAGTCACTGTAATTTGTGTAAAATGCAGCTGAGTTTGGATTGTTTGTTACCTTCCTTGAAGGGACAGCTTGTTTTCCTTTACAAATGCCCTTAGGAGATGTATTAGGCATGCATAAGCAGCTGGACTGTGCTGCCAGAGCCGGCACAATGCAGGGAGCTGAAGCCACAAGAATCAGCATTTCTGACTGTGCAAATCCTGTCCTAGTGGGCTTAAAGCAGGGAGGGCAAAATAATAAAGGAAGCTCTGAGTTAGCCTTCCTGCCACTTACACAGTGCTGCTGTAAATGGCATCCACACAGTTGCTGAGCCAGCTGGATTATTTTAACTGCAGCCTGCAGGGCTGGAATTGGAGGCCCGCGATATGCTTGGCAGGTACGTAACTTGTTTTATTGTTTACCCATTGCCATAACATGACACAGTTTAAAATGAAAAAACAGAAAGAAATTGCTTCCAACAACACCTTAAAAGTAAATAAATTGAAAAGTTCTGCAATGAGTGAGAGCTGATTCCTTTGTTTTCAAATCACTTTATGTAATTTTATCTGTGTATCCCCAGTATGTACAGAATCACGCTGCTAGAGGTCTGAAAACTCATGCAATTTTCTGAAACCAGACTTTTTTCTAGCCAACCCTATGCATGGCAAATGACATGAATCCTTTACACCGAGCCTAGGAGGCCCTCACATGGTACGTGTTTCCAAAGAAGTCCTAAAGTGAGTGCCCAGATGTAGAGCCACACTTTGGTATCAAAAGCATGCTCAAAGCTAAGTTTCTGTGGATTTTAGTGTCTCTGCTTTAGCTGACTAACCTGTGTCTTCCTTCAACTAGGAAATGGTGACATCTACAAGATCACAGACTGATCTGAAGTGGACGTCTCTCAACCACCCTGGCTGAAACAGTTCCACCTTGTATGGAAACACTTAAAAATACATTAGCTTGGGGACTGGAAAAACTGTCTCCTTCCTACATGCAAATCTTAAGCAGTGGAATATGAGGTCACTCTCTGTGTCCCAAACACATGCAGGGATTGGGAAGGCCCTGTCATAGAGTATTTCATGGTGCTTGAACAGTTTCTTCAGTGAGATGAGCACAGAAAGGATGTGTATTTGATCTTCAAATTCCAGGTGAGTGCTATAACCACTTGCTTACTGGATGCTGTGGCTTCTTATTGTTGTATCTCTCATGTCAATGAAATGCCTTTTTCTAGTTCCTCAACCATTTCTCATATATCTCCACAGGAAATTAATCAGCAGGCTGTAGTGTGCATCTTATACCTAGGTTTTTATTTCTCCGTTACACTGTACAAGGAAGCTTCCACATCTAATTTTCAGTTAAAAATATTGCTAAGTGATACACTCATAGGAGCTGGGGTCTGCAAAACTGGGTACTTCATGATATCATAGGCATGTTCATTGCTTTGGGAGGTGGTTCTATCAAATTTAAAACCAGGATTTTTTTTCCCAGATCATAATATAACATGAAAAATCGTATGTTTGGTCAACTAAAAGGCTTACCTCATCTGTTTTAGTAAGGATTCATCAAACAATACTGTTTCTCCAGCTTCCTTAACTATCAGGTCCACATTCCATGCTCCATAGTCACTACTATGTACATGTAGAACACTATAAACCCTGATTTTTTCTGAGAAGATTCTGTCTCACCTAACTTAAAACATGTTATGTACATGTGGATTTTTTAAAATTAATGATAATAAATAAGCATTTCCAGGACAAAATGCGTCCAAGTGGAAGGTAAATACCTATACTATAGTCTAACGAACTGTACCCTAAAAATGCTAGTCTCTCATTTTTGATCAAGGCTGGAGTATTGGATGCCTATTTCAGGTATATATATCTGCTTGATATATGCCAACTTTGGTTAGATAAAGCCTGTGAATCATCTGTGTTAGCTAGTATCTTGATGTAATCCTAAACAGAACAGAGCAGAATAACAGAAGTTGCCTCACATGAGTCTATGTAAGAGACTGCTATCTGAGCATTTGCCACCTTTCCATAATTTCACTTGGACAGAATGCAAGGTAACACTACAAATTCAGAGTTGACATTATCAAGCTACCAAGTATAAAATGAAAAATTAGTGGGGATTGGTTTTTTTCTCAAGGTAGACCTTGTAAAAAGTCCTCTGAAAAGCCTATGACCTGACAGCACACTAGCTCAATTTACTTTTCAGTACTTTTAGAAGTGGATATTTGAAAACTCTTCCTTCTTCAGCATTATGTTCAGAGAGCACAAGATTTTTCTTGCCCTTTTCTTTATTCAGATAGCTGCTCCATTTTTTATTGCATCTTGCAGAGCTTCCTCTCTAATGTTGTTTGGGGTGGAGGGAATTTAATGGGTCCTACCAATAAAACCATAAATTATATCAATAATTCAGATGCTCTGTAAATGTTTTAGGGCCTGCTAATGAGGGAACTTTTTCAGTGAGAGCTCTCTGCACCAAGAGCCAAGTATGATAAGACTAAACATAGTAAATGTGACAAAGCAACTCCTTCCCCTTAGAGTATTTCCTCATTTTTTATTTGACCATGTCCACTATGTAAATACAAGATCAGTTTATGCTCTATACAACATTGCTGTAGCATCAGTGACCCCAGTGAAGTTCCTGGAAATGAAAGTCCGAGCAGGATTAAACTGTTCATGAAGGCCTTGTAAAGATTAAATCTTCTACTTTTCCAGCTCTTTTTATTTTAGCACTGTGACTCTCTCACAGCTTCTGGGTACCTTTCAGCATACTGCCCCGTGTCACCACCAGAATGAAGCACGCTTTTATGGAGAGAAGCTGGGGAAAAACACAGTCATAGGTCTTGCAGCTAAGCAGCTGTCATTTGTTGACATTTGTGAATCATCCCAAATGTGAAGGCTATTTCTGCTACAGCGCCAGCCTCATGAGGTTCCAGGCAACTGCTTTAAAT